TATCATTGGGTAGTTTCTCAACAAGTGTTTCCACGTCATTATATCCATATTTTCAAATTTACTAAATGTATTTCTTTAATGCAGTTGTAAATATCATTAAAAAAAAAAAATAAATAAATATTTTTAATTCTGAAGGATATAACCACAAAGAGCATACCGGAAAATACACTAAAGAAGTCGGATATGAGACCTTATGGGTTGTAAATGTATGTTTTAAAACCCACTTATTTATTTATAATTATTAATTTATTTACCTATATTTTTATTTATTTATTTTTTAGTATTTTAAAGTATCTCGAGAATCAAATAGAACTGTCGCTTTCTTGGTTATTGCTCGCTGTTGAAGAAAGCGCTTACTCCCCATCGAGAAAGAAAGGCTTTTGTTCTCAAACAGGTCGTTCAAGAAAGATGACCTACCTTTTACATAACTTATCTTAAATAATATTATAATGACTTTTTATCGTTCGTTAAAAGAAATTCATTGTTTGCAAATCATAGAATTGTTTTTAAATTGATGAAAAATTGTTTAATTGTTTATTTATTAATTCTCCTAGATCTTTTTTGTCCGTGCATCAATGTTTGTTAATTCTTCGTCGAAAAGAAAGATTAAGATATCAATTTAACGATTATCCTCTCCTCAACAGACAAAAACATCCCATACATTTTTGAGCTTCAAAAGGAATCATCTATTCAAATACTGTACTGTTTTAGTTCAAACTCTTTTGTGTAACTTAAAAATTGCTAACACTTTTTTGTCATCTTCAAGGGCTTTAAGCAACTTGAGATATTAATTTTTTATTTAGGCATATAGGATATATTGCTAATATAAATCCACTCTCCCAGGTTCCCCAACCCGTTATCCTATAGTTTGCCCCATCCTCCAATAAATTTCATAAGTCGATTCCTATGGATTATTCTAGTACTATTAGTATACTATTACTATTGTTAATAATAATAATAATAATTTTTATTTCTCAAAATTTTTTCATCTACATTACTTATGTTTCTTATACCTTGTTATCTAGTTCTTTTCTTAGCCCTGATGAAGGCCTGAACTTCAGGTCGAAACGTCGGCAAATGTCAAAATAAATATTATCATTTATTTTTGCCTTCTTATTTGACTGATCACCCCAACTATTCTTCTCTCCATTATTCACGACAGTCAACCATTTACCCACAATCATTAAATTAATTAATTTAATGAGAAAATACCTCATTTCTGAAAATTTTCGAAGATGAAAAATTTGTATGTTGCGATAAGGTGAAGCCATTTATAAAGTTTTAGACGGATGTTAATAATTTGATAAAAACGAGTATGTACCATGGACTAAAATCTTAAGGAATTATGGATGGGGAAAAAAATCGGATCACAAGGTTTGGTTTTCTCTCGAACAAACACTTAATAGTAAGGAGTTGACTATATTAACAATTTTTTATTTTTCTATTTCTTAATGACATTTACAACTGTATTATATAAATACATCAAGTAAATTTGGACATAATAGATATAATGACATGAATACACTTGCTGAGTAACTACCCAATGGTAGCACTCTAATAATTAGTGTACATGAGGAGATCACGAGGCCATCTTCTTTTCAGACGCCTCGGAGGGTTATCAGGAATTGAAGAGGAAGCAAGGTTAAAAACGAGAGGGTTGAGATGATTCTGAAGTTTATTATGGAAGGATAGGTATCTTAATTGGGCCAGATCTGAAACATAAGGAATATTAAGGTCATTATGGATGTATTTATTTGTAACAAGGCTTAAGAGCATTGAGGATTTTACGAAGGATTTTGGATTGTAAAGATTGGATGCGAGAGGAATTCAATGGTTTAGTGGAGCCCCATAGCTCAACTCCGTAAGTCCAAATAGGTCTTATTACAGTCAAGTATATGAGTCTTTTGTAATTAATGGGAAGTTTAGAGCGTTTGTCTAGTAAGTGCTGAAGTAATCGGAAACGTCGAGCGGTTTCTTGTCGTTTCATTCTAGTATGAGAATTCCAAATTAGTCGTTTGTCCAGGTGGAGTCCTTGGTTTCGGATTTGCTCAACAGGGATAATTGGAGTATTGTTAAAGGAAACTGTAGGACAGGAAGTCGTTGGTTTACGACGAAGGGATTAACAATTTAAACTTCTTAAATTAATATTTTAAACTTCTGTTGAAGATACATTGTCATTGATAAAATACAAAAAATATACATATGTGTGTACAATTACATTTTCAGTTCCATTACAGTATCATAAATAATATAATAAAACATATTAATACAATGAAATAAATAAAATTAATTCAATACAAATAATAATACGATGGAACAGAACAATGCAGTGAAACAAAATTTTCCCTTTTTAAATTTCCTTCTTCTTCAGTCCTTCTCAGCCTAATAATAATTTTTTTAATTTAAGGCCATGACAGAAATAGTGATACAGTTTGTTTAAATCTGTTTTGTTTTCTACTCTTAAAATGGCTTCAACACAATTTACGTATAGCTCTGTGGCACCTACAACTTTCCTTCTAATTCCATTCACAAGCGGATCCAGGATTTAATTTTGGGGGGAGGCTTCAGCCAGAAAGCTTTTTTCTTAAAAAAAATAACGATAATTACTTTGGAAAAACGAACTATATGAAATGTTTAACTGATTCCTAAAGTCCTTTTAAATTACACGAACAATAATACTTTAAGAGATCATTTTTTGCATAAAACATGGTTATATTTTATTATTTTGCGGGGAGAGAGACTTCAACCCCAAAGCCTCCCCCCTTCCCCGTAGATTCCGCCATTGAAAATCTGGCAATCGCTAAGGAGATGGAAAATTGTATCTTTACTTTTTTTTTTGCACAGCGATTCTCTTCTTGCTGGAAGTTGATGACTTTTTTGTCAAAATGGATTCTTGTTACATACCTTTTTCCCATAAATTGTTACATGTCTTATCTGAGCTACCAATCTGATTTTAGCAGTTTTTATCTTCCTGTTTAAATAAGATTCAATACCATCCAAAGAGCTTATATATCTATATATAGTGCTGAATGAGTTGTTACTATTTATACACTATATTATTTTTCTGTATAATTTATTTTATTTATTGTACATAGAGTGTGAATGTGATCTGTGAACTCTATTATAAATGTCCTAGAGACAGATTGTAATATTTTTCAATAAATAAGTTTAAAAAAACAAAAACAAAAAAAAACTAAGGCAATACCATTTTTTAAAAAACTATTTCACTGTATTTGTGTGAAAGAAGAAGTGAACCATCAAATCAATTCAATTCATGGATGTATAAAGCATATGTTTATAACCTTAAATACACTTACATAGGTATGCATGTGTTCTTTTTATTTTTAGGTTATTTTATTTTTATTTATTGTATATATATTATTTTTCTATATAATTTATTTTATTTATTGTACATAGAGTGTGAATGTGATCTGTGAACTCTATTATAAATGTCCTAGAGACAGATTGTAATATTTTTCAATAAATAAGTTTAAAAAAACAAAAACAAAAAAAAACTAAGGCAATACCATTTTTTAAAAAACTATTTCACTGTATTTGTGTGAAAGAAGAAGTGAACCATCAAATCAATTCAATTCATGGATGTATAAAGCATATGTTTATAACCTTAAATACACTTACATAGGTATGCATGTGTTCTTTTTATTTTTAGGTTACTTTATTTTTATTTATTGTATATATATTATTTTTCTATATAATTTATTTTATTTATTGTACATAGAGTGTGCAAATCTCCTTGAGACAGATTGTAATATTTTTCAATAAAAAAGTTTAAAAGAAAAAAAAATCAATATACTAGTATTATTTACTCGTATCTATTATAATTTAAACAAGCTTAAATTACAGATTCCATTATATTTTCTTTGGTTGAGACTTTTTTATCTTTCAGAGGAATTCAATTTTTGTTTTCTTAGTAAAGAATAAATGTTGATAGTTTCACAATATTTCTCCAATTCTTCTTCGGTGCATACTATTTATTTTCAAGTTTATTTATTTTCAGCCATTTTACACCAATTTTCAAAATTTTTTGTCAACTTAATGACTACACATCTGATTACGACGTTTCGGCTCGTTGAGCCATTTTCAAGTCTAAAAAATGTTTACAATTTACAGTCATATTTAAAACATTACATACTTCATCATATAGAGATTCATTTTATATACCTAAAATACTAATCATGTACCTATCCTTTTAAACTTATGCGAATTGCATGCGTCTACTCATATAAAAAAAATATATTTTTTTTTTATATAATGTCCACCTTTAATTATTTTATAACATTATTATTACTCAATTATTTATTATTAAATGATTCAAATAAGTTAAAATTACCTTATAATGGATCATCGACATCTCATCAGCCTCATTTCAGTTTCGTGACTGGTTATTCTTAAAGGAGTAGGGGAAGACTATTTATTTTAAACATATACAATGATATTTCCCAATATTATATATGGGTTTATTTTAAGTACAATTAGCTAATTCATTTCATATTTTTATTTTTTCAATAGAACTCGCATAAAAGGTATTCATATTATCCACATCTGTATGATTATTTACCGAGTTTTTTAAATTTTTAGCTATGTGTATATTGCTTCTTTTATTCTACGTTTATTCATATTACTTTCATTATGTAGGATTTTGGCGTTATTGAAATCAAATTCATGTTTTGTTTGCATAGTGTGCTGTATATAGTTAGTTTGGTTATCCGGTATAATTTTGTCATTCTTAATAGATTTTGACGCTATGTAAAATTATTTGTCTACTCTATTCTATTCTAATAATTACTAATGAATAAACTAATATATATATATACTACGAAATATTATCGAACCATATAGAGACTAATAATATCGACGAGACTTGTTGCCTTTTGAAGACGAAGAGCATTGCCCAATCGCTCAAGCCTACGCTGCCAGAAGCCGTACTCCCTCTTCGTCGTGGTGGGGACGCCGTCCGCTGGCTCAGTTAGCTGCAAGACATGACCGAAGCACCGCCAACCGAAGGAGGCAAGCAGGAGCACCCCCTAGCCTGGGTCAGGATTAACCTAGCCTACTTCAGGACGCCTTCAGGATCCCTCAAGATCTTGCAGCTGGTAAGTCATGATATACCCTACTTATACAGGCTTGTCCTTAGCGCCTATGGTTGTGATAAGTTTCGGGCTAGATATTTACCGGTATACCGTTTGTGTTAGATCGAGAGAAAACTAAACCTTGTGATCCAATTTTTTTCCCCATTCATAATTCCCTAAAATTTTATTCCGTGGTACAGACCCCTTTTTATCAAATAATTAACATCCGTCTAAAATTTTATAAATGGCTTCACCTTATCGTAACATACAAATTTTTTATCTTCGAAAATTTTATTAATTAATTAATTTAATTATTGTGGGTAAATTGTTGACAGTCGTGAATAATGAAGAGAAGAATAGTTGGGGTGATCAGTCAAATAAGAAGGCACAAATAAATGATAATATTTTTTTGACATTTGCCGACGTTTCGACCTGAAGTTCAGGTCTTCATCAGAGCTAAGAAAAGAACTAGATAACAAGGTATAAGAAACATAAGTAATGTAGATGAAAAAATTTTGAGAAATAAAAATTATTATTATTATTATTAACAATAGTAATAGTATACTAATAGTACTAGAATAATCCATAGGAATCGACTTATGAAATTTATTGGAGGATGGGGCAAACTATAGGATAACGGGTTGGGGAACCTGGGAGAGTGGATTTATATTAGCAATATATCCTATATGCCTATATGCAATATATAGCATATGCCTAAATAAAAAATTAATATCTCAAGTTGTTTAAAGCCCTTCAAGATGACAAACAAGTGTTAGCAATTTTTAAGTTACACAAAATAGTTTGAACTAAAACAGTACAGTATTTGAATAGATGATTCCTTTTGAAGCTCAAAAATGTATGGGATGTTTTTGTCTGTTGAGGAGAGGATAATCGTTAAATTGATATCTTAATCTTTCTTTTCGACGAAGAATTAACAAACATTGATGCACGGACAAAGAAGATCTAGGAGAATTAATAAATAAACAATTAAACAATTTTTCGTAAACAACGTTTTGACCCAAAATTCAGGTCTTCATCAGGGCTAAGAAAAGAACCAGATAACGCTTTTCCTGTTCCTGGAGATAGTAAATAAGTTTTAATTTTATATATACTATATCTCGTATATATTTTTTATGATTATGGTTAATTTTACGTCTGGTTCTACCCAGATAATATTTTTTTTTCTTTTTATTTTGTCGAATGTTAAACCTCTTATTCTCAAAGTTAATAGGCTTTGACTATGTAGTGAGGAATTGTCTTTTTCAACGAATGTGTTTTGTTTTGTTTTTTTAAAATTCCATTTTGGAATTGCTGAAAGCTCTAGTCTGTGATTTCTAAAATGTGGGATAGTTGTGGGGCACAAATATAGAAGAAAATGGCGAAGAATGCTTTTATAAATTAATAATTTTAACGAGTTTAAAATTTTAAACGAGGCTGATGTTTGGGTTTGTGAGGAAGTGAACGAATTTAGAATTTTGGTCTTTTAATAATTTTTAAGTACAATGAACCGTATATTTCAAATTTAATTCCTAAATATCACCAACAGCTCGAAATATCTATCAAGACCAACTCGAAATTTTATCGGTACCTATATCAATACCTAAATACTTTCGATACCGAATATTATTTTTCAAAATGATATTTTAATTTTAAAAACTTATTTTCTTTCACGAGGAACTATTTCAAATCATTTTATTAAAATTAAGTTATTAAATTTTCGTTCATAAAAACACCTGACTATGTTTCAAGCTCTTTTGTCCAATTTTAGGTCCAAATTACATATTTTCTGGTCGACAATTAAATTTAAATTCGATGAAATGTAATTTTTTTTTTTTCAATATATTATTGCTTTTAAACTATTCCTTAAAATTAATATTTTTATTTTATTTCTTTTCTTATATAATTAATCTTCCATCATTTAGCTATAACAAATGTTAGCTAATCAGCCATCATATATTTATAGTTAAATTGATGAATTTAATATATTTATTTTGGACTTGAAAATGTTAACGTCTTCAGATGTTTTTGTAAAAGAAATTTGTTTATTTTATTTTTATTTTTTTTTTAACAAAAGGGTTTCAAATAGTTCCTGGAGATGATAAATAAGCTTTAATTTTATATATATATACAATATTTTGTATATATTTTTTATGATCATGGTTAATTTTACGTCTGGTTCTACCCAGATAATATATATCTTATTTTTTATTTTTTTATTTTATCGAATGTTAAACCTCATATTCTCAAAGTTAGTAGCGTATTTTAGGACTGTGAATATCATTCAAACAATTTTTAAAATAATAATAATAATAATGACAAATAAAAAGTGTTATATATTTAAAAAAAATAGTGATAAAAATACGTAGTCGTAAAATAATCAACCTGTGCGCAATAAGCGAAAAACGCTTTTTTTATAAACTGTAGTGCAAAAATGGTTTTAACGATTTTGATAAAAACTAGCCTATAATTTACCCTAAAAGTCCTTTTAATGTAAATATTGTATAACCTTCTCGAGAATAAACATGTCAACAAAAATTATGACAAAAACATAATTTTCTTACAGCATAATTCAAATATTTTTAAGGAAATATATATTTAGAATCATTTGAAAGGAAATTAAATTCTCTTCAGGAAAAAAATATGTCTAAATCCAATCAAGTACTTTAAAATGAGCCTTTCAGTTGACGGAATCACTACAATTTCAACATTTTTGAGTAAATCATTTTAGTGTTATTTCTAATTAAAAAATTTATATCTGTACAGGCAGTAAGTTGATTCCAAATTGATCCAAATGTATTGCGTAGTAAACAATGTATTAATGTTTTTTAAAATATTTGTCTTCAGTTTCTATGGAAACACGTTTAATATTTTAAACTTTTCTACCACAACTAGATACCGAACCATATTTTAGGTGTGAATTTTTCGAGAAATGTTTATTATTTTCCTATTTGTGTCAGGTAAAGGTATAGGTAAATATTTTGGGCAAGTTTTGGTAACACGTTTTCCTTTTTCAATTTTTTTTTTTTCCGGGTAAATTGAAAACTATACATTTCTCTGTAAACTCATTTGAAAGATAATCATCAAATTGTTTACAAAGCTTAAATTTTTTAATGTTTTTGAAAATGGTGTTATTGGACACAGATATTTTCTCACCGATTTTCCTATTATGCATAATTAAATATATGTTGTAGATATTAATATTTTTTTCATCATATTATTAGGATAAAAAATATGAGAAATTAATCAAATTATAAAAGAAACGTGATGAATAAACCTTAAGACTTTATTATTTTTTTTCTTCAATATAGCTATCTAGTCCATATTTAAAACTAAAGCAATAATACTCCAAAATTACTTGAGAAAAATACGTGTTGTGTTTGACATTGGTAGACTCCACCTACTGTTCTATCTAACAAGGCCACAGGGCTGTTTTCTTTTAAGACGTCTCAGGATTATCAGAGTCTGATAAAGAAACAGGTTTATGAACTGTATGGTTTGTGTGCTTGTGTTATATTTATTTCTTACTTTACTTTAATTTCTTACTTATATATGTAATATTTAGTAAGAAAAAGTATCATAAAAAAAAAAAACGTATCTGAGTTTTAAACGGGAATACAGAGATCCTTGATTCTCTAAAACTAAGCATTGGTCTGTGTCTGTACCAACTACTTAGCTCAAAAAACGAAAATTCTTACAAAATTGAAATTATTTATTAAAGGTAGGTATACCCCTGGGATGTTACAGCAACTTCTTCATGAACATTGGCCAATTGGAAGTACAACTTCATATCATGGAGTACACTATTTTACAAGTTTCTCAAAACATAAGAGCCGATTTTGATTAAATTCGTTTTATCAATACAAAATTAAATAGTTTTACATATATCAGATAGGTCCTCAATGTCGAATTTTCGAAATATCTTCCTCTGAAGTACCTTTAATTTGGTTTATTTTAAATAATTAACTGTCTCTTCATTGTTTTAGTAATACGAAATGGCTCAAAATAAACTTAGAAAGAATTTGATGATTTTATAAAGTATTAGAAAAATATAAGAAAAATGTTTGTTTAGGGTAAAGGAAAATATAGGAAATAAGAATCAGCTTGGAAAGCTGAGGGATTTTAAAATGACATTTTATCTAATAAATAAAATCATTGAAATATGGAAAAGTGACAAGGAACTGATAGCTATTTTTGTTAAAAATGTCTGCTTCAGACAATTTAATGGAATATAAATATTTTCATTGAAACTGAGTGTAATTTATGTTATAAGTAATTTTTTTTTTTTAACTTTTATTATGATATTCACAACTGTATTAGTATGAATACATCAAGTAAATGTGTACAGAGGAATACATAAGTAAATTTAAAATTTGTTTTAAGTTTGACAAAAAAATATTTCGGATGACTTTATAACCTTAAATAAATTTACTGTAGTTTAACTAATAGCCCGTGGTATAGACCCCTTTTTATCAAATTATTAACATCTGGCTGAAACTTCATCTCATCGTTACCTACAAATATTTTATCCTGCGAAAATTCTCGGAATTGGGTAATTTCCAATCTGGAGGTCGGCAAACTTTGTCTATTTAATTAAGTACTAAAAACTCGTAAATGCCCATTTGCTTTCCACTTTAATCGTAAGATAACTTGAGTACAAAGTCGAGGAAAAGATGACCTTTCAAAATATTGAGCCGTTTGGCCTATATAACCTCGTTATTTTGACAATTTGGGGGTGTAGGTCACGCCAAACGGCTCAATTTTTGAAGGCCATCTTTTTTCTCTCCTTTGTGCTGAACTTATCTTAAGATTAAAGTGAAATGCAAATGGGTATTTACCAGTTTTTAGTACCTAATTAAATAGACAAAGTTTGCCGACCTCCAGATTGAAAACGTCCCAATACCGAGAATTTTCTTAAATAAAATATTTGTAGGTTACGATATGAGATGAAGCTATTACAAAGTTTACAAAGTTTCAGCCGGATGTTATAATTTAATAAAAAGGGTCTGAACCACGGACTATAAATAAAAGTTGTGTGCTGTTTACTCTTTACATTTTTTTTTTCTTTTTTGATTCTATTGAAGGTTCGGTAGCTTTGTATTCGTGCAATAAGTTAGAAGAAAATA